ACATTAAAACCACTGATCCTTTTGGAAACTATTGTGAAACTGAGACTTCAGATCTCAAAGGAGTATAATAACCAACAGTGAGAGAATTAATTCAACACAGAATATAGTACCCACCTTAAATAAGGATGTCTCTGAATTTAGAGCTGTGAAGTTGGCACCTGAAACATAAATTAGGCTTTTACAGGCATGTGTGTTTTGTTTTTTTTTTTCCCCCAGTTAATGTAGCTCAGGAATTAGATTTGTCAGTAGGTCTTTTCTAGATAAATAGAAATCAGAAGTTGCAGCCACAAAGGATAATTTCATGAGTTATGCCTCCATCTGAAGAACTTGAAACCACTTCTAGTCTGTGAAATGTCCCCAGTTAATTGCTGTTACAGTGTTGAGCTCTGAGGAGATGAGCTGCTCTGGCAGGTTCTTTGTGATCTCTATTTATTGCCATGTTTTGAACACACTTACTGGGACACATTTTATTACTGCCTATTGATGGGGAGGTAAGAGGTCTGTGCTTCTCAGAAGTGGTTGTATTGGCCGACTGCAGGCACTAAACTGTCAGGCAGAGGTGAGCAATAAAGGCTGAAAACCCTTCCCTGGCTCTGCAGCCCCCTGTTGTATTAATGACAGTGAGACCTTCCTGTGGCAAAGTGGTTTTTGTGATGATGAGCAGCACGAGGTAGGAGCTCATTGATTCCTGGGATCGATTGCCTCGGGGGTCAGTGAAGCATCTCCTGCCCCCACATGTGAGTGTGTCCCTGGGTTGGAGATGTTCCTCCCACACAGCCCAACAGCAACAGCCTGGGTTTGCTCTCTGGCCCTCTCCCCTCCAGCAGGATGGGAAATGCTGTGCCTGGCCGAGCTGTCAGGAGAGGAGCTGCTGCACTGAACTGCCCCCACTGCAGTGCTGAGGGATGGATGGAGCTGGGACAGACAGCTGACTCAGAGCACCCCCTGTGCTCACTCCCCCCCTGAGCTGTGCTGGGTGATTTTTCTCCTCGTGATATCTTGTGCTGCCTCATTTCTATCTCGAGGTTTTTAGCTTTTTATTTGGATCAGTGATTGAAGGGACAGCCCCCACGTCTGACCTGACACACCCTGTAAAGGAGACTGTGCAGGCACAGCAGGATGAGCTGAGGTTAGGTGTATAAAACTGAGGGATGTGTAAGAAATCAGGTCTCCCACGTGGGATTCATCCTGTGCTGTCACTTCCCCTCTGTGTGTGCCTCCTCCTGGTTGTTTGCAATGACTCCATTGGCTGCTCCCCCCTTGGTTTCTGTGAGGTCTGTGAGCACTGAACATCCCTCACTGGTGTGTATTCCCCTCCTCAGCTGGATGTTGGAAATTTTCCTCTTCCTGCAGCTCAGCTCAGCAGCTGACACTGAGGTGGAGTTATGCTGGGGTTTGCTCTGTGGAGGATCAGCCACCTGCAGTAAAAGCATGGGTGTATTTTCTTACCAACCTTGAGACATGGCAGAAGAGCCCAGTGCCAGTGGGAATGTGACTCTGGCTGCTGATTCTGACACTGGAGCCAAGGGAATGGCTTGGGCTGCCATGCTGGGCATGGGAACTGCCTTTGGCTCTGAGGGGGAGTTTGGAAAGACCCCAGAAACTGCTTCTGGCTCTTACCCTTGGCACAGCCCCTCCCAGGACCAGCTGCTCCTCTTGGTGCCCAGTTAAAGCCTTGGCAATGGGTGAGACTTTGGTGCCATCTCTCCCAGTGACCAGACTGTTTGTTTGGAGCCTCTTGTGAAAGGGTGTTGGTTGAGTCCCCTGATAAAATACAGAGACAGGCAGGTCTCCTCTGTCTCTGTTCATCCTGGGGCATAAAGGAATCAGGGGAAGGAGGATAATAGAAGTGCCAAAGAATGTGGTGTGATTGCCAGCCTGTGCCCTGGGGAGGCTGGAGGAGACTCGCTGGGTCACAGGAGCTGGGCTTCAGCAGAGAGCATGGAATAATTGTCTGGAGATAAGAAAAGACCTGTCTCGAGATGAGGCAGTGCTATTCAAACACTCATGTCAATGAGTTTCTGCATTACACCCTGATTGCCAGGAAAATAACAGGAGTTCATTCGACTCTTCTTGTGTCATTTGATGTTGTATTTGAGTTCCTGTGAGTAGCAGAAGGAATACCCTAAATAACACTACTTTGTGTGTGTATATATATATATCTTTGTATAGAAGTACACTAAGATAACACTCTGAGAAACAAGATTTTCCTAAGAGTTTGGCCTCTTCTGTAGCAAAGTTTGGCAATGTAAGCTGGGTTTCAGGTTTTTTTAGATAAATAAACTTAGTTTACTTCACTGGGAGTTTCTGATGCACAGCCTCACTGGACATGAAGTGTTGTCTGCTCTTTTTTTCTCACCTTGCCCTTTCCTCCCTTTCCTCCCTCCCCATGGCTGTGTTTCCCCCCCACCCCAAACCCCAGCCACCCCTTCTTTGTTCAAGCCTTTCTCTTCTCGCTGCTGCTCTGTAGGAGAACTTGTACCTGACACGTTCCTGCTGCTCATAATGAGCTTTCACTCCAGTGGCTGATCAATAGCAGAACCCAGCAGGTCTGTCTCTCTTGCTTGTTTTCTCTATCTTGAATCTGCCAAGACAGATTAGACCATTGCCAAGGTCACTGGAGATGCCGCGAGTGAATGAAAACATATCTCGTTGACTTTTTTAGGACAGGCTGCAAAAAGGCAAGAGTGGAGCTAAAACTGAGTGTACAGTGACAGATTAAATCTGCATCAAGGTCACACAGGGGATTCCTGAGTGAACCTTCCATGCAAGATCCACGTGCCCTGTCAGGGGGAGGTTGTTCCACTGCTGGCCCAGGCAGTGTCCTGGCAGTGCAGGGATGGGAAGGAACAGACAAGAAACTCAGGAGTTGCAGGGAGAGAGGGACTTGGGTGCTGCTGTCCTGAAATCCAGAAGAGATTTACCTGTTTCTGTGGTGGCAGAGGTGGAGTCACAGGTTGGAGAGCAGCCTCGTGCCCATGGCATCCTCTGGCTGGAGCAGCTCTGGTGCTGTGGATGCCAAGTGCTGGAGCCACAGGCACGGGGCCGATGAGCTCCAGGAGCCTCCTGGGAACTGGACCCTTGTGCAGCTGAGATGTAACTGCTCCTCAGGAATGAAGGAAATTTATTGAAAAGAAAAGCATGAGTCAGTTTAAGGAGAAGTTTTTCTATTGGCAGTGGCTGAAATTCCAGAGAGGGAAGGTTTCTAGTGAGAGGCAATATATTTTATGAGTCTGACTGCTGGAACAGGGACAACTGTGTTCATGGCTTGAGTGTCTGAGATCTTGTCCCTCTTCCCTCCCCACCCCCAGTTCCAGCAGTTGATCTAATAAAATATACTGTCTGTATAAATCTCCCAGCCTCAGATCATCCTGTCTGTCTCAGCACAGCTAATAAAATAACAGACAGAGTTCCCTAATATTGTTACTTCATTTAATGGATCCTCCTGGCCACTCAGAACAGTGCTGCCTTAGACCACAGTGCCTGTGTATGTTTTTAGGAGTCTTCCAGTAGCAAAGTCTGAGTTGTGGGTTTACCTGGTTTTGCAAATAAAACTGAAAGAATTGCTTCCATAAAAATGAAAAAACGAGCCCCTCTCTGCTGGCTGTTCACTCCTAGATCTGGGCTTCAGACTTCCCTCGAGTTTGAAGCTGTTTGATCTGCAGGAGATGAAACTCCTTTTCTCTGCACTGAGATAAAATAGAGCCCTGCCCAAGCTATAGTTCTGCTTTTATACTTGCTAGATTTGTGGTTTTGTTTAATTTCAGCCTGGTTATTCCTGGGCTTTTAAGTAGCAGTGTGCACTTAATTGTTGTCTTGGCCTGGAACCAAAGTGGGCAGAAAACAGTGATGAAAGTAACAGGAGTCCTGGAGATTTTGCAAGGCATTTAGAGATAATGGGATCCTTCTGATTTCCTCTGCTGCCCCAAGTCCGTGAGGACGAGGCCAGAGTGTCAGTGGCATTAATGGATGAAGGAAGTCGTGTTAATTAGTTGAACTGTAACAGAGAATCTCACAATTATCTGTGAGAGAAGCCCCAACAGATAATTACAAACTGCCACAACTTTCACTCTGCTGCACTTGTTCTTGGTGTGACCCAAAGCCTTCAAAGCCTGCAAGATTTAAACCCCACATGAGTAGTCTGACTCTGACCTGCCTGAGCTGTTGGCTGAAACAAGGCAAGTGGAACAGACTGTGGCTCTGAGAGTCTCTGTACTTGTCTCACAGCTCTATCTTTGTTTCTAATTGAATTTCTGAGATGCTGATCACAAGTCACAGGATGAGGCCAGGCTAAAGCTCCAGTCAGATGAAAATGGAACAGCTTTTGGGGTTGAAACACGGGGTGTTCTCTTTCCTGAAGCTGATCAAGTCAGTGGCTTCAATCTGCCAACCTTCACACCCACGTTTGGTGCATCAGGGGCTCAACCCTCAGAGCTCCCTGGGTGTGTCTTCAAGCTGCACAAACTGTTCTGCTCAGAGGTCACTGATAACTTTCCAGCAGTGCAACTTCTTGCCCAATTGTCTCTTCCTTCTCTCCCTGCTTTTGCTTCCAAGCCACTGGGGAGTTGGATTCTGAATTTCAAGCCCAGTTTGGCACAGAGTGAGATAAGTGCCAGAAGTTGGAGGGGTGGGGGCTGCTTGTCTTTCTCCTCCCTCATCTGAGAGACCAGATTTACTGTAGAGTGTAACAGCTTCTCATGGCTCTGCCAGAAGGATCTCACTGAAATCAGTTTAATAATTTGAGAGAATCTTTTCTGTCTTCAAAACACTGTTTTGAGTAAATTCTTTCCTTCTGTAACACATGATTTTTGCTATATGAAGATTTGATGCAGGATTATCCTGTGGTTAAAACCTTGGCTGGAGGCTGGGAGGAAAACAGTGCTCACAAAGGGGTTTTGTTGGACTTTGGCTGTGCCTTTAGACTTGTTGCTAAACCACCTGTCTGTGACATGGGAGATGATTCCACTTGCCTTGGTGACCTTCTAAAGGAATCTGTGCTCAGTGATGGGAAATGCAGCTCCTGGGGCAATGCCTTGGCCAGGGACAGGAGCCCTTTGGACAGTCAGCAGAGAGGGCACGTGCTCCCTTCTCCCTCCAGTGATCCTCAGCTGCAAACTAACCAGACATCAGGTAGACAGGTTGGTTATCCTTAGTTCAGTAATTTGTCATGTTGCATTGCACAGAATTAAATCAGTTTAAGATGTAATGGGATGAGATGCACTAAACTTCAGATCTGTTAACGTAATATGGCAGCGTGTTTGAATGCATTTGTTTTGCTTCATGGAACCACAATTGAGTCTGACAGTGGTGGATCTGGTGCAGAGGCTGGGACAGGACAATCACAGACCACACTGTCGGGGAACTTTGCTTGAATGAGCCTTGGCATCATCTGTAATTATGTGTTAAAAGTAAATCTAAATTTGTCTTTTAGTGCTTGAGGGGAAAAATTGTGAAGTCCAACTTGAGTATCACCTTTTTCCCATTTTCTCTTTTTTAGCAACAAAAACTGTTGGTTTAATTTAACTGAGATTGCCCAGAGAAGCTGTGGCTGCCCCTGGATCCCTGGAAGTGTCCAAGGCCAGGTTGGACGGGGCTTGGAGCAACCTGGGCTGGTAGGAGGTGTCCCTGCCCATGGCAGGGGGTGGAAAGAGATGAACTTTAAGGTCCCTTCCCACCCAAACCATTCCATGATTCTATAATTTAATACAGTTTCCTATCACTGCTGTTGAAACCTTGGGGCAGGAAGCAGTTGGAGATGCCTTTGGTGCTTCCTGTGGTGATTCCTCTGTTTTCTCTTGTCTGTGCTTTGTTTGATGTTCTGAATGTGCTTCAAATGGATATCTCTGGTACAAGGGGAATAAACACTGCCCTACATAAACCTTTATCAGTGTTTTGACAGGTGTGCAGCAGTGCTGTGGATCAGTTTGGATAACTGCTCTCAGGCAGGTTGTGACTCCTGGGATGGTCCCAAGCAGGGGCTGAGGGTTGTGGGTCCCTCCCAGCTCAGCCTGTTCTGTCTGAATATTGGGGTCTGCAGAAAAACCCCTCTGTTGTGTTTGGGAAGAGAAGAGCAGGAGATGGGTTAAATCCTGTTGTTCTGCAGTTTCCTGGTTGAAGATGTTCCTGGTTGAAGGAGTTCCTCGTGGTGTCCCTGTGAGGGTGACAGCTCTGAGTGTGAGCAGAGGGAGGCTGGGGGGGGTTTGTGCTGCTGGTTCAACTCTCTGGGCTCACTTCTGCTCCCACAATGGGACCAAACACCTGCCCAAGGAAAGGACAGCCCTGGAATCCCCTCCCAGGCCCTGCAGGGAGGGCTGACGGCACAAACAACACTCACATTCAGCTCCTGTTCTTTCCCATTTGCCCAGCCGAGACATTGTGAACTCTGTCAGCTCTCTGGAGATTAATTGAATACTGTAAACATTGAATTTACCTCTGAATCACAAAAGTAAGATTATTTAGACCTTGAGGAGGAGACGGGAGCTGTTTGAATACTTGATTAGCTTGGTCACAGAAACCTTGGGATCTTTGCAGATGGAAAAATGGTTTGAGTAATGGAAAATGTTTGCCTTTTCTCTTATGACTGTGTTACAGAGCTGTTTGATGTGATTTTATTTTAAGTGGAGCCAGTGATTTCTTCCTCTTCATGACCTTGTGTTATGGATTGGGGTTTTTTTAATTTATCTTTTATATCTCATATAATTGAATTTCCAGTATCTTTTCCAGGGCAATTTAATACTAACAATTTAAGAATGTGTTGCCTCCTTACGAATGTCGGGAATCTTTCTCACACAGCCAGGTTGAGGGTCTCTAAATGAGCTCAAACAATTCACAACTCCAGTTCCTGTTTGGCCAAGGACAGCTCACAAGGGCTGCTTGAGAGAGAAGGCAAACTCTGGGAGCCTGATGGGTGGGAGATAACGTGGGGAATTCACACTTAATTCTCCAGTGAGGAAAATGGGACTTGGTTTGCAGGTTCTGGGCACGGAGAGATGCAGCAGGGACAGGTCTCTGACCGTGTTCATGTGCCTGCAGCAGCTCAGGGCTCTCACCCTCCCCAGGCACCCTGGCAATCCTCTCTGATGGGATATTGATCCTGGTCTTGTTCCTTTGCAATGGATTCTGGAATGAGTTGCTATAAAACAAGCACGTGCTTAAGTTTTTTAGGAGAATTTTCTACCCCCGAGTTTCTTTTTACATGGAAGTCGCTTAAGCTCGTCTTTGAAAAACATGGTATTTCCTTCTGCAGAGCTTTGAATGTTTATGGATCTGTAGGAAGATTTAAGTGTCTCTGAGTGAGAGTAATCGGGTGGAAATACAAATGGAAGCTGAGGCTGGAGGCAAACTGTGAGAACTGGGACCTGTTGCAGACTTTAGTAGCTATTTATTGAACTGCTGATTTAATTAGAGCAAAACCACTGGTGGTTGAATAATTAAGAATTTGCTTTGTTTGTGGCAGGTTCTCTGTCTCTCACCGATCCATTGACTTTAAATTGGAGCATCCAAAACCCTGGAAGGATTTGGGTGCCTTCAGTTCTCCTGGGAAAGGGCAGGAAAATCTGCAGCCTGTAGGACACACTGTGCCCCACAGCAATCACTGTCTCCTTTTGGAAGGGAGGTGGTGGAGATCCAGCATGGTTACACCTTCATATCTGGCTCAGAACCTTCCCCCTGTGTTCTCTGGCACGTGGTAGTTACAGAAATCAGAGCACCTTGACCAACAGGTTCAGTGGGATTTCCTGGATTCCCTGCTCAGAACAACACCAGTGTTCTCAGCTTCCCCTTTCACATCCATTTTCTTTGGGGCAGGTTGTGCCTTCCCTGTGTGACAGAGAAGAGCAAAGCAGTGCAGGGCCCACAGAGCCTGCCCAGGCTTTAATATCCCTGAGAACTGAAGAATCTTGTCCTTTATGCCTTAATATAAAATAATGTCATATAAAAACGGGGAGAATATTTAATGAGAATATAAAAGTTTCCAGTAGTGGTGGATATCCACGTTTTTATTGGGTTTCCTGGTGTTACAATAATACTCATCATTTTCTTCGATGCGTTTCCTTGCAGCGAGGAGAAATTTTCATTCTGAATCCTCTGGTTTCAGGCAGGTTCTGTCCAGCAGGCTGTGAATTCACAGCCCTTGCCACGGGAGGATGAACATGTTTGTAAAGGCTCCTGAAGCCTGCTCATTCCCTGTTCTGAGAGATGGGTCTTGTCTCTGCCCAGGGCTGCCTGGGGCCGTGTTCCAGCCGAGCTCCTCCTCACTGAGCTCACATCACCCTGCAGTGGGGAGGGGAGGAGCAGTTTGCTGTAGCCAGAGCAAAATGAAGACGATGGGAGGATGAGATTATGTGAAGTTAAACACACAAATACGTGCATGATAAATTGGGAAGTGCCTCGGTTTCTTGTGTTCGTGGCAAATGAAAATCGTGATATGGGAAAAAAGTCACGGAAGCTGCAACCAAACATTGTGGGATTTTGTTGTGACATGGGAGATTCTTTATGCAGAAAGGAGCAATTTGAAAATCCCAGTCTTTCAAAACTAGTTGCTTGGGAGAACCGGGGGAGGCACAAAGCTAAACAATTATGAATGGTAACCTTTAAAAATAGATATGTATTTCCTAACAGACAGCATCTCTTCATTACCACAGACACACTCATTAACTGAAATATTTAGTGGGGATTATGGGTTGTTTAAAAATGCAACAGCTGCTCTGTTTGGTGTTTTCTCTTTCTGAAGATGTGATTTTTTTTTTTAATGTTAGTTTCTGACTCCACACACAGACCTCAGTTCATTCCGGGTTCATCCCAGTCCTGCTCCTTCACTGGTGCACTGAGGCTGATACATCCCCCCAGTGCTCATTGGTTGCCAGAAAAATGGGATTTCTGCCATAGAAATCAACAAAATATATAGAAAATAGATGTAAATAAGTGAAGTGACAGTCTCAGGTGGTGTAGCTTTGTTTCCATTGGTGAGGCAGAGCTTAGCTGGAATTCAACTCCTTATTTTGTTATTGAAAACAGGAGTGGAAAACTGATTTATTTTTCCCCAAAGGGTGAGATGCCTTTGGATCACTGTCAGAAGGCAGCAGCTCACAGAGAAGCACTAAAATTTTTGTCATTTTGATAAAAGACACAGATTATCTGAAGCTTTTGAAAGGTCTCCTAGAATAACAAAAAAACCCGCAAAATGCAATTAATTCCAAAATACTCTAAGCACTTTATGAAATCCGGCTGATTTTATCTTCCACTGATCAAGAGATGACTATAACTCCAAAAACTGTGGGTCTTAGAAGCTCATATTGCAGAGATGTACCAAACTAGAAAAAATTACAAATAATGGGATGTCTCTTAGATGAAGCAGAAGGGAAAGGCACCTGGCAAAATGATGGATAAAGCTCCCGTGGAACTGGCAGAGAAGGTCTGTACTTGTTTTGCAGACTCCACTTGGAGAGTGAAGGGTTTCTTTGCCTCAATCTGTCACTCTCCTGTTGGCCTGTCTGTGCTGCACAAGTTTGCAGCCTGTAGCTGCCCAGCATCAATTTTGCCACCATCCTCCTCCTCCCCGTCTGCACCGAGGCCGGGCTGTCCCGGGGGTCTCCTCGGGGGTTGGCATCTGATTTGTCTTGTCTGCTCTGAGCCTCCCACTGGGCCCCATCCATAATATTCCAAGACATCAAACCAGCCTCTGGCTGCCTTGGGGACCTGTTTGTCTCCAGCATGTAGAACACACACACGCTGTTGGGAAGAGGCTGCCGCAGAAAAATGGGGATTTATTAACTCTCCAAAACAAACTTGGAGCTTGGTTCATGTGTGTGACAACACCAAGGAGGAAAAGGCACAGGATGATCTAAGATATGGGAGCTGGTGATATTTCTCACATGCTGAGTAGCTTTGGGGCTTTGATCTGGAACTCCTGGAGGTTTTTGTGACCAATCCAGGCACAGCAGGGCAGGTGTTACCCCGAGGGGACGGCTCTGTCTTACACAACAGTTTTTGTCTCTCCAGGCACTTCCCTGTTTCTGTTGGTGCTGGGCATTGCTGCTTCTGAACTTGTGAGGAATGGGTCAATGGAAGGAAATGCTGTTGTACTTAAAAGCCCTAAATCCGAGTGGTTTTGGGGTGATCTTCCTGCAGTG